TACCCGCTTGCCTTTCAAAGGTCTAAGCGTGACTTAAGAGTTGCTGAAAGATTCGGCTCAGGGGTGGTGGTCGGCAGTGTGTTCAGGATTTCATGAGAACCCAAGAGAGGCATACCCCCGCCACGAAATCTTCGGTCCGGCACCTGAGCCAAACTTGAAGGCCACAACTCCGGGCAGGCCTTGCACTATGTCCAACGAGAGCTGGAATCTCCTCTATTCAAGGGTCCACGTATTGAATAATCATATCAATACCCCACATCTGTACTACAATTCCTATTACCCAAAACCCAAGTGCCCGATTGTTTGGTACTTAGACCCTTAGGCTCCCTGGACTGCTTCCTTACCAGGAGCGAGCTGCTGAGTACCCTGCGGCAGGGCGTCCATCTGCCTACCAGGCAGAGTCAGTGGTCCAGGCTTAGCCCAAGGGTCCCTGTACCCGATAATTGGGTACTTGGGGCTTTGGTTAAAGTATAATTATAGTACTGGTTTTGGGTCAGTATATAATAACTGCATACCTGGACCCTTAGGGTAGGGGTTGATAAACACAGACTTGGGCAGTTAAGTTCTAAGTGCAAGGCGTAGGTCAAGCGTTGCTGGGGTGATTGAGTCAGTTGCCCCCTCCAAAGGGTTTGAGGAATTGGATTTGCTGCTTGGAATCTTTGTTGGAAGCCCACGGAGGTTGATGACGATGTAGGACTGTTGCTGTTTGCATCCGTGATGTAGTTCCTCTAAGACTCCGAGCTTCCCCGCCCTGTGAATTGTTGGATAGATTGTGGCGCATCTCTAACCCGCAACCCTCAATGCTAAGGCTAACCGCTCAATTTTTCCCTCCGGACAACTGGCAGGGGATTAGGTTTAGACACTTGCAAGGGTCTGTTACTGTAGGAGGGTTGGGCTCTGGGATGTTTGGCTCAGCAGGTTTGTACTGCAGAGGTGTTGGTGTGCCCATACAGGGAGGTACGTGGATCTGCGAAAAATGGGGTCAAAGACATGTTTTTTGTTTTTATCATGGTCTTTCCTGGGCTTACAGCACTCCGATAAGGACGACCCAGCATTGCGTCTCTAATCATACGAGCGTGAGCTTTGGAAAGGAGCTCGCTTCCACCTTGCGCACCCAGGAAGATCGTCTAGCACCCCGGGCTGCAAGAATCTGAACCGACCCCCTGATGTCGCTGCGCTAAAATCTGTCTTGTGTTTGAGAGAGAGAGAGAGAGAGAGAGACTACCAACGGATCGCTTTGTGGTCCGCTCATGTTTTGTCTCACATGAAGGTCTCCTGATCTCTCGGCTCCACTGAAGCACAAACCTCAAGACAAATCCACATATCCCATGGCTGGGTTAGGGGCGGCAAACGTAATTGCGTATTTGCGGAATGTACGATAACCTTCTCTGTATCACATTGTGAGCGACTGGTAATTAGGTCGAGTGGCATTCTTCACTTTGGCTTGTTTTGCAAAGCACCTACAGACTCGTTTTTTTGTTTTAAATTTATCGCCTGATGCGCACGATTCGTGCATGTATTACAAAGTCGGAAAGAAACCAGGTCAGGCATGGGCATTGCGCCCTTGGAGAGCACTAAACATCAAAGTTGAAGCTCACCTCGGCTTGAGACATGTTTGCCGTGGCGCGAACTGAAGCCAGAAACCTGTGAGAAGAGACGTGCGAAAACAATTAGCATGAATTTAAAAAGCGTGAATGATTGACAACAAGCCTCATTCGCATGCAGTTTGTAGTGTACCCCCCAACCCAGGTCTGGTTCTTTGGTCCCATTTTTTTGCCCCAACAGGACTTACTGGTTGTTAGAAGGGAATATAATCCCTATATAACCCCGTAGAACATATCCCCTTACTCCCTACAACCCCTGCGCCCTAACTAGTAGTTCTCATTTTCTTCTCCAGTATCCCCGCATAACCTATAGAACCCCATATTATACCTTACTACATAACTTACATAACCTAATATTATACCTTACTACATAACTAATATAACCCCATATTATACCTTACTACATAACTTCCATAACCCTCTCTCATACCTTACTACATAACTTATATCTCCCAATATTATACCTTATCATTAACCCCAGTAAGATGAGGTCTGGTGCCATGGCGCCTCGGATGTCATCCTCCGGGTGGGTCAGGCGGCCGCGAAGCTGGGAGGCCCTGGTCAGGGACCAAAGATATACGTCGATCAATGGACATGGTACTCTTCCAAAAAGAGGGGACCCCAATTTAGGCCCCCAAATATTGTACTCCTTATGATTTGTACCGCGAATAAGGTATCGCGAATTTTGGGAACCCCCACATCTACCAACCATAGCCATTTTGTACAGCCATAAATGCAATGGGTGTATGTGTGTATGTACACACACCCATTGCATTTTCATTTAGTCAGGTGAGGCTAGAAGATTGATTGGAAGCCCGCTCCTTGGACATATGCTCTGACGTTTAAGAAGCTCGCCGCAATTAGTGTAGGGAAACTTCAAGCCAAGCATGCTGCTTAATGGTAATTTCAGAACCCCTGCCCAGACACCCCGCTCACCCCACTGCCAACCCTGCGGACCCCTACCACCATCCTGGCTTTGTGCCGCCAGGCAGCATGGGGTGCGGGATGGCTTTGGTGCAAGGCCAGCGCCAAGTTGGATCTACCTTACGCGCGTTAGTTCTCAGAGACAGGAATCTTGTCACCCTGTTGAGCCGGATGCCCAATGATCAGCATAGGGTTTGCTTCCGATTCTGCGCATGCGTGGCATCTTCTTTGGTACGACATTGGGTCTCACCCAAACCTCAAAGCTGGCACTTTGAAGCAGCGATCTCACCTGTTGACCAGAATCACCACGTTCATAGATGCCAGCCTCTTGCTTCAAAAAGCCAAGCAGGTCCAACGTGGCCAAACGTCAAGGCATTGCTGCAGAGCGCGGGCTTCAAGAGCATCGAAGAGGCTGGACCTACACTCTCAGACATCATGAAGATCGAGAGCTCCAGATTTTCAACTGAAACCAGAGATCCTTACGCAAGACGGTTTAGGGTCCAAGGGCTAGGTGTTATAGGGTTCAGGGCATCCAAGCTTTTCTGAGACCTGACCATCCAAATTCCCCACGGTCCCGCTCCCCCGCGGTCCCGCTCCCCCGCGGCCCCGCTGCATCCCTGAACCCTAAACCCTAAATAGTACTTTTGAGTTTCTTTTCCATCATCCCAATATCCCCAGTATATACCTGTATAATCCCTATAATCCCTGAAGTTTCCATTTTCTTTTCCATCATCCCCTTCATAACCCCATCCCCAAGGTGCCTTACCCTGATCCCTGGGCGTCGTCAGATGCATCTCAGGAGTGCCCCGGCTTCACCCAGGGAATTTGGCTTCGGCGGGGTACTTGAAAGTATGTGTCCTTGAGGTAAGCGGCGTGATAATTTGCACAGATTTGGGACGGAATCGCGATGTCGGGAAGATACCTATGCCAGCAAGAACTGCATAATTGAGAGATGCTAGGATACTGTGACTGAGGTGCTTGGCTCGGTGACCTTGGGTCTTGTAGCAACTGAACGGGTCATGCACCGCAGAGGTGTTCGTTTGCTGTCCATGCGAACTAAATTCTCCAAAGCCTCAAACCTGATAACAAGGTTTTGGGCTGCTCTTCAGGACCGAGTGGAAGGCCTTGCTTCGGGTGAAACTTCTCTCTGTTTCTTCTTGCATCTCATTGCTGTTTGAAGGATTTTGTTGTCAGATTCTAGGGTTGGGTGATGCAATTCCACTGGTCAAGTTCTGTGTTGCAGCATACTTGCTCAAAATCAGATTCACCATGTACTGTAGTTGGCGGCTTCCATTCAGTCTGTGCAACACGATGGCCTGTAACCAACACACGAGGGTCAGAATCAGAATTTACTGGGTTGCCGTTGTTACAGAAATATGGGTACGCCATAAATTCTAGGTGTTCCTTTATGTATTTGAGATCCTTGGCAGCAACCCCAACGGGATCTTGGAGCTGAACCCAGGAAAGTGGGTAATGGAGAGATGCAGCTCTTCCATGTGCTTCCTTGAACCCAGCTCATCAGGACATGAGTTTAACAAAAAAAGACCGCGTCTGCGAAACAAAACACATACCTATGGTCTGGCCTTGATTCTGAACTTGCTCCTTGCTTGTGACCTCACATTGCAGATGGCTTTGGCAGACTGATTAATCATATTATGTGTCCTCATGAAGCCTGCACGAGGACTGTGATCAACTTCTGTGTCTAGCAACCCGGTGCCAGTCCAGGCTTGATGGACTCAACTTGGAACAGAAGCTCACCTTGCCTATCCTACATCTACCCTCAGCCCCAAACCCAAATCTAAGCCCCCGAACCCTAAGCTTAGAATTGTATCCCTAAAGCCTTTACTTTGTGATAGAAACCTGGAGGCGAAAACCGACCTGCCATGGTCTACTTGGTGCACCCGCACTTCCCTTCTGGAGCTGGGGCTGACTGGGTAGACAGGCTTTGGGTTTGAACAGGGTGCCGCAGGAGATTATTCCGCGCCAAATGCAGAATCAAATGCAAAACGAAAAGCACAATGACATGGAATCCTGGTTGAGGGTTCAGGGGATAAGGTGTAAATAAGGTGTAATTAGGATCAGGGTCTTGCACAGACATGTTCTAGATCATAACTTTAGGCTCAGGACAGCTTCCACCCTCAAAAGATCCCTATTACAAGCTCGCCAGCGGGGCATCACCCTAAACCCTATATGCCCACTAGTAGTTTCCATTATCTCTATATTCTATATAACCCCTATATAGCCCCTAGATAACCCCTTGATCTTCAACCTCAAGCACTACGTCTCAACCGCGACCTGCAACCTGAACCCCTAAGCTGGCTATTGTTAAGATTTCGACGCCTCGAGTCAAATATTCCTTAAGCCCCGAAGCACAGACCTAAGTCTCTTGAATCCCAAATGCTTAAGGTGTCTTTACGCACTCTCCATATACCTCCGCAAAATCACTCCTCGTCAAGCCTGTATCGTCTGGAGGAGTTAAAGATCCAGACTTCGGCGCCCGCCTCGCAGAGGTTTGCCTGCAAAGGGGAGAGATAAATTTGCTTCGTGGTGTGTTATAGCAGTTGAACAGAAAGTCACGGGGATTGCTTTGAAGTGGTGGGACTCCGAGTCATTTTGCTGTATGATCTTGAGACCCCAAGCCCGCAAATTCCATCCCCCAACCCCAAACACTATAGGCCTAATACTTTTTAACCTTATACACATGGTAGTTTTCCTAGATACGGGAGCCTGCTAAAGACCCCAGTATATGATAATGCTTATTATGGAGACCCCCAAGATGGAACCCCTATTTAGGGAAGCTACCAACCATATCAAAGCGTTTGCCAGGTCCGAGGCAGGGCACCAGCGACCATCTTTGCAATCGACGAGACCTACATGGGCTTCACTGCATCTGGGCTTTGTAATGCAAAATTGCCTGGCATCCCAGAGTTTAGGAGTTTACAGAGCCCACTCCAAACCTAAGATCCTATAGAGTCGCAGTCCTGAGCCCTTTGCAAGCCAGATCCCATTCCCACGTGCCCACCACTATAATCCCTGTCCTAGTCCCAATGCCAAGGAAGGCAGCGAGGATGACCAACTGCTGCTCTCTCTCGCTGAGGCATTCGGCCCTCCTATAAGTGCCCCTCATCCTCATCCTCCTATACACTGCAACACCTCGTCTCTCGTTCCAGGCCCCCACATTGGGTGTGGAGCGTTTGTTGCTGATGGAACCGTTGCACTGCTAGTGGCTCATCATCTGAAGCGCCACCCCCTTCAGAAATTGTAGATCAGTCAGGAGATGACGGGTCGCTGTTAAGCTTTTGTCTTGGCAATTGTCCAAAGCATTGCTTCATCTTCGGCGCCTGTATTAAAAAGCTACTCGGAAAACGTCACCTCATGTTGTTAGGCCTTTATGTGATAAGTCCCAGCTTCCACGGACAAGCAGCCGTTCAAGTACCAGATGCTGCTAAAAATTAGTTTGCGTGCATTGTTCTGGTCAGAAGGCTCAGCGCTGTTGCGATCGCTTAGTGGAAGAAGAGTGCATGGGATTCAAAACAGAACCCGCAGGAGATGTGAGTTTGCCTCTTTTCCTTGGAGCTGTTGTTTGTAAAAGTAGGCAGTTTGGGCAGATACCTCCAATCCCGAACCCCCTCCCCCTGTAATCTGAATTCCTTACGGTACGAGTCAACCCATGGTTACCGACCACTGCCGCCAGGAGTATGACAATGTTGTGCTCATTCGTTCGCTTTCCAAGGTGGGCGTTGCAGTTCATTTAGTTCAGCATGGTTTTTAATATTTGGCTTGGAGCAATGCTCAAATCATCCCCACCGGCGCATATATGGCGAGGACACTAGGTAGTTCAGGCATGCGACCGCTACACACCCAAGGTTTGGGTTTCGATGAGGCATGCCACGCTGTGCGAACTCAAGGGTGTGAAGAATATGCCTTACATTTACACACATTGTCTCTACTGGTCTCCATGCGGATCTCTACGTAAGTCCTAGTGGTGACTGGGACCACCATGCCAGTAATAGCGCCGGCAGTGACTTGGAATCAACAACAGGCACACAAGCTTGGATTTCTGCTGCAGTCAGAACATTCAGGTTCAGATCGCTAGCGAAGAACCCGCCGCTCACATGTCTCGTGGGAGCCTGAATCAGTGCACACGGGTTTCCTGCGTACTCCTTGTGTAGGTCCCGACAGTAATTACCCCAACTGTGAGGTAGGCAAAGTCCAACTATCATCCTTACAGCGTTCTCCTGCAGTTCCTCTCGCACCCTCACCCTCCATACTCATTACATCATCCTTACATGGAACCACATCAAAATTCATCCAGCAGATGGCAGGTAGAGGGCCTGGCGGCTGTGCGGCTGGGCTGGGCCCAATCCACCCCCAACACGGTGCGAGCCATTTCAGCAGCCTGGCAGCCATATTCCTCAAGGGGATGTATAGGACTTAGCTCACAAGCCTTCTACAGTTGTTTCATGGCACATACACAGGGGTCCGTGGGGGAAGGGTTCTACCCATCCTTCAACTGACAGGGGGCCGCTGCAACTACTGTCGTCTTTGACCGGCCCGCACCTCCGTCTCCAGTGCCCACACTAAGCCCTCCAAACCCCAAATCCTAGGACCCGAACAACTTCGTGATGTCTTGTCATATGCGAAGTAAGTGCTTGCAGATTGAAGCGTTCCCAAAGTTCCAAAAACCGAGGAAGGCTTACCCTTTGCAGGGCAGCTCTACATCTCTGAGTTGGCTTTGGCAGGCACCAAGGGCCTGGGGATGTTGTTTGGGCAGGTGCATAGCTTGGGCCTGCGCAGTTTTTTTGGGGAGTCAAAGGTCTACCTGGGTTTTGAGAGGTGTTTAGGGGAACTAAGGGTGCATTAGGATGTTGAGCCCCCAGTGACATGGCCTAATTTCCCTTCAGCTGCCCCATACAATCCCAACGAACCTAACGCCAAGGCAGCATACTCTAGGGGACGGAAGAGTCGCTGGGAACATTCCCTGACAATTGTTGCCGAAAACACCCCCAAGGCCCACAGGCCTATTCAATTTGTTTTGGTCCTAACCCGCAGGCTCCGAGCTATAGACCCTCGGCCCAGAACTCTAAGTACTGTGGATCTTGAACCCAAAGCTCCCGAAAACCCCAAGGCCTAAACCCAGACGCCCAAGCCCCCTAAACCCAAAGCATCTGCTTGTCCGCCCTGAGGCCTGAAGAACTACCAAATTCATCCCCTCAGTACAGTATAGAAGAACGCAGTGCTTCCGTTTTCCATGCGATTCGCTATCATTCTCGTTGCTTAGGCCCCTACATCTTGAAGACAAAAGACCAAGTAGTCAAGTAGTTTCCATTTCCTTTTCTAGCCTCATTAGGGCTCTATACCCCCTTTTGACACCATATGGTTGTAAATCACAAGCACGTAACAGGCTTGGACAGCCATTCCACGACATAGGCTTGTAACAGAATTCCCTGGAATGCGACAGACACCTTTGCAATAAGCTTTTTATGTGCGGCATACCTGTACCAATAATTTGCAACAAAGGTACGCAATAACAGGCCACGACCAGGGGATATGTGAGAGGGGGTGGGGGCGGCCCCGCGACAACACACACAGCCACATGTTCCCCTAAACCTGAGACGCTTGTTTTCATTTCCACTTCCATGACCGTCTCAAATTCCCCTTTTATACTCCCTACATAAACTCTCCCTGTAGAGTGCAGGTGCCTTGGCCGCCCTCCGCGGGCCTGCAGCGCCGGAGCATCGAAGACAGGCAGCACTCAGTGGTTTCCATTAGGGTTATAGACTTATAGACGTTTCTGGAGCGATGTCTAGAGTCTGGAGGTGAAAAGAGAGTCGCACGCGACATCCTGCTGTGGCAGGTGCGGAAGTTCTATGAAGAGGAGCAGCAGTGGCTGCGGGAGCAACTGGAGGCGGGGGCTGTTTTGGGGATTTGGCGGTGATAAGCGCCATAATCTCTCGGCTAGCTGTCAAGCAAAGAATCCTGCATCCTCGTCTTCATGCTTCCTGTCGCTCTATAGGCAGGCAATCAACAACCCTATCGAGCTCAACCTTGACAACGTGCCTGGTACACGTTGATTCGTCAGATTACAAAACCGATGCTGTTGCAGCAGAATCCTGCTCGCCCAGCAGAGCGGTAAAAACTGGACGATTATACAAGTGCAAAATTGAGGGCTTGGTGCTTAGGCCAGTCACATGGGAGAGAGAACAGTCGACATTGCATGGAATGACAAGCAGGGGTAAGCCGCCCAAATCTGTAAACTGGTGTTAGGGCTCTACAGCTCGGGCATCAGGCAACCTGGATGAAAGTGATCGAGTCCATCCAACAATTTACGCCGATATCCGGGACACTGTCTTGAAGCCGCAGAATCTCACGCTTAAACGCCCAACTTTCGCAAGTGTTCCTGTAGAACCTCGTACCACCCTCCACCCGGAAAAAAAAATCGTGTAAGTTTCGCCGACAAGACGTGAGCTTTCAATTGTGAATGTAACGTTTGGTTCGCTGTGTTCGCTCTGTGCGTTCCTAGGTGGCATGTGTGGGATGATTCCCTCATCAACGCAACGAATAATTAGGAAGGCTTTGGCAGTTGCCACGTCCAGGAGATAGGATTCGAGACCTTCGCTTCACAGGCGCCCTTCTTTGTGCCTGGGCTTTCTTGCCAGGCTTTCTGAAGGAATCGATGAGGATGACAAGAGGAACTCTGTTGTCATTCTTATCTTTGCCCCGCCAACCTTCTGGTTTCTGCATGTTCTCAGCATGGTCTGATGTTGTTTTTTTGTTCAGGGCCTTAGTTCATAGCTTGTGGGCCCCGTACCGGCCAATATTTAATGACTGCTTTGCAGCTGACGATGCTTTCACTTAATTTCAATGCTGCTCACCACAGAGTCATTGGCTGGCTTTCCCTTAAGCCTTCCTGCGGGCCCTGGGCCTCTCAGGTGCTTCGGGGCCCCGCAGACGCCTTGCAGGCAGCCGTGAAGGCATCTCCCAGTTGAGATTGGGATTTCAGGTACGTAGTTGGGTTTCGGGATGGAGGACGGTTGTTGGATATAGAGAGGTCGTGTAGGGTTCAAGATTCTTTTCGAGCATTTGACGAAAGCTGCTTTTGAATTCAGAGGCGCCATTCCTATAGGCAGAGACAAGAGACAGAGCTGAATAGCTGTGATCCCAGTCTAGCTAAGCTCAATGAGCAACTATGCACGGCTGAACCCTCAGCAAGAAGTCATCCAGCTGTACGCGGCAAAGTCCAAATGCACATGCGCAGAGGCAGCCGGGGAGGAATAGATCTGCCAGTTCCTGACATCACTGGGATAATCTTTGGCTTTGGTTTCAACCCTTCTTCAATCCTGAACACAACTTGTCCGTTGTGTCACATATGATACCATAATTCCTGCATTCGCCAGCTCCATCCAAGACCCTGTGCTCTCAAACCCCTGCACCCCAACCAAGCTTCTAGACCCCTGGATCCGCGACCTTTCTAAGTTCCAGTGAAGATGCCCGAAGGTCTGAAGCAGTGAAGCACTAGCCCCACAATCTCATCTTGCCTCTTAGCCGCCAAGCCCCTGCAGCCTCCTGTATCCCCTCAACCCTCTAAACTCGCCCCCATCCCGTCGCAACCATCATCAAACCTTCGTCCCCCAAAACCGTTCAGCTCTCGCTTCCTCCCCAGACCCATATGAACCCAACAAGGCTGCTACATGCCTTCTCGGGTCCTGTTCCCAACAACCAGGCGGGCGCTGCGGTGCAGCGCTTTGATTTCCCCGGCGACCAGGGCTCCGAGCGAAGATCGGCCCCTGGGCGCCAACGTTCCGAGGGCAGACGACTGGGATGATGGTCATTCAGGAGTAACTATTTTAGAGAGTTTGCATGTACCGAGTAATATGATGATTGCGTGGAAATATTTTGGGAGCATGGATGGTGTAGAACGCGGCATCCCGTTCAATGTTTCAGTATGGGGGCTTTACTGGGGACTCAGCTAGGCGTTCTGCAGTGAAGACGCGCTTAATTCTAGGGACCATTTGGGGCTTACAGGCATCGTAGGGAGTGCTTTAGAGGGATGCTAGGTGGTTCTCTCTAGATACTGTAGGGTTCGGAGCGGTTGTATAGGTGTCTATGGGAACTTTGTTGAGGTAACGTAGGCGACATACATAATGGAAGCCTGGGTCCGCTGTAGGTCGTTACATGGATATGGGGGTCCCCAACAGTTGGGTCCCATTTATTGGTACACGTAAATATTAGGTGCCGTAATATATTGATCACCACAAGGGGAACATGATTTTGAGAATAACCCATATGTGTAAGCTCTTGAAAAAATTGCTTAATACCTGCCAGGTCTTCAGTGACCTATGGGGGCTAGGTTTCTCTTGAGCCACATGACATCTGGACATGCGGAGCGAAGGTGTCAGCAAGCATGCAGTTCTCCGTGAGGATTAGACAGCTTGAGCTTTCTCAGAATGTCTTCTTCCACGGAAATGGTACAGATAGTTTCACCGCTTCTGGCCACTGAAATGCTTCAAAGCTCTGTACTGTACACATATATATAGATACACACACACTTTTGTGCCTAAACCTCTATTATTGCCCGTAATCTCGAAGCTGTCTACGCCCTATCTCGAGGCCTTTGATCTGAAATCCTGAATAGGGCAGTCCCGTAAGCCTTAAATCAAGCTGCCGCAAACCCTGGACCTTTAAGTATGTACTATGCTACTTGCAGAATGGAGGCTCCGCAGTGGGTCATGTCCATGAACTTACATCCCAAACTGTACACCCTAAAACTCCAGGGCTGTTCAGATTCAGGCCGTTTGCCTGGTCGCAGACCGGGCCTCCAACGAAACGACGCTCAGGAGCCTAGGATAAACAGGAGGTTTTTGGGGGATTGAGGGGCACGGGCTGTACAAAGTTGTACATCATCGAATTTCGTTGGGGCTAGGCTCTATAACCACTGTCAACCTTTTTGGAGTTTGGATCACAGAACGACTACGGTAGGACAAACCTGAGATCCATGGGCACAAGTAGATAGAACCCCATATAACCCTCTATTAGAACTACCCCTATATAGCCCTATATATCCCCAGATTGTACCCCTGACTAGTGTTTGAGACATGGTCAAGTCTTTGCAGGTGCCTTGTGCCAGAGAAAGAGGAGGATCCGCTTGCCTGGGCGGCGGGCATGTGACTTGGCCGTGTTAGGCCTCAGAAACCCTACACCCTGAACCCTAAATAGTAGTTTCCATGTTCTTTTCCATTCTCCCTGTATAATAGAACCCCAATATATACCCTAATAACCTATTTCTAGCCCCTTCCCTGTAGTTTCCATTTGCTTCCCCTATATTATTGCAATTCTGTAGCTGATTTGGTACCTACTTTAGAGGCAAAGTCCACAGAGTGGACCAAGGCGGGGAATTGGGAATGTCAGCATCACAATAGTAGTAGTACGGTCAGGGTTTAGGATAATACTAGCAAATATAGTAATTAATAGTAATAGTACTCATATCCCAGTACTATAGGGATATATATTGGGATATTAACCCAACAATGGAGAATCAAATGAAAAATAACATGGAACATTAAATGGAAGCTGGGTGTATATTGAATGTCATCATTGTGGGGGGTACGGGGTATGTAGGGGATATATAGGGGATATATTGGGATGATGGAAAAGAAAATGGAAACCACTGTTTAGGGTTTAGGGTCTTGTAATCTTGCGCTGGCTTGAACCTTTAAATTCTGGCCTTAAGCTGCAGCGAAGTCATTCTGAGAACCCCCGGCAGACTGGCACACGGGTAAGGGGCATGAGGGGGCATCCAAGGGTATGGAAACGTCTCAAAACCCTGAAGCCTGATGGCTCTGGGATGTGGGTGATTCTTGTGATTGTCCGCCCTTTTTTTTCCTCCGTTCTCAGTGTGGCACTGGCACTTAACAATCTGGAGTGGGATAAAGCTGGGACATGAACCGGAATGTCAATCTAGAACATTGTGCATTGTGCCTTGATGCAGGCTCAAGCCGGTGATGGGAAGCTGAGTGAAGCCGTCATGGGCCCTGACATAGGAAAGAGCCAACGTAAAGGTGCGTCGATGTTGTTACCACTGGGCAGCACATCAGCATGCAGTTTTCTAAATCTGGACATCTAGCTCTGCAAGTGTGGCAATCTGCATATTCCTGAAGCTTCTTATGGTACATAGTTACATGCACATACGTCATTTCTCCAGCAGTATGTTGGCGAATGCAGAACGAAGCCGTTTGCAGCACTTGGTTCGAAAAAAGCGTGGCACATTTTGCGCTTCAAATCTGCTATGAACATTCCCGCATTCCCGAGATCCTTAAAGCGCAATTGGGCTCAGGGTATGCAGCCAGAGAAGCTTTCGACAAGCTGTTTTGCATGCGCAGCCATAGCAGGCCTATAACTGGACCACAAGCAGCTTTCAGTCTGAATCCATGCGTGTCCGGAGCTGCGCCCTGCAGTCGGTTTGGGAGAGTCGGCTCGCGAGCTCCTAGTAATTTACAGAAATCGGAGTGTATGAAACCTGGGTAGAAGTTCATTCAGGGCGGCATGTTACAAGGACATCTCATATTTCGGATATGCCTTTTAGGGATCCTGATTCTTCGGAAGTACTGCATTCTGCAACATACAGAGCTGATGAAGTAATCGCCGTAGCAGTACCTTAAAATACTTCCAGCGATGTCTATTTACAAATGCCAGCATTACATCATTGTCATTGAGATTTGAGCTCGCTACGACTAGAACTTTGCTCTAAGCCCAGCCATCATCATATCTCGTCCCGGTACCTATCTCATATACCCAATCCCACTCCCTATGTACATAACCCCTGTCAGTCCGCAGCACTTGAGCCCTAGCCTTGACCGCTTCTTTCTGAGAGGAGTGGACCTGTGGCTGCAGCTTGTCTCTCACCACGGAAACCGCTGGGGTCTCAGAGGACTCTTTCAGAGGATGACTCGATTGCAAGTGTGAGGTGTAGAGGTTGTTGTGGCCTCTTGCGGAAAGAGGCACCAGTCAAGTAAGAGTTGCCATAATCATCAGAAAAGAGAAAGCATGGTTCGTCCACCTTTTGCTGGCAGCCAAGAATAAAGGACTGCACGGTTTTCTTGGATGGTTTGCAGGTTTTGAAACTTGCTGCGCATTGAAGATCTTGCAATCGGATGGTATTGTTGGCAGTTCAACTGTACTCTGCAATCTGGCCAGTGGTCTCCTCCAATCTTGTGCTCTTGCCATGACTCGTACAGTTCGCAAGAGCTCTGGTATCAAGCCGAGAGTCTTGGTCTGTGGATGAATTTAGCAGCCTGGGATGCAGATTGCCGTGCTGCAGGGTCCAGGGGCCTTTGGAGCTGCAGACACGCCAAAACTAGAATGCACAAGAACTCAGAACATGTTCCTGCATCCTATGACATCACAAAAAAGGATGCCACCTCGCCTTAGATGAAGACAATTCTTAGTGCACACTTAGTAGGTCAGAAGCCTTGAAACCGAGGTGGACATTGATTTCCGGACTGTCGAAGTCGAGGCCGCAATATATGGCTCTTGGATCTTGGTTCCAGGAGTGGAGGCCAGTAGCTTGAGGTACATGTGTAGCCTCCCTGCATTTATGGTGCTCAGTTCCGCAGGTTGAAAGGGAGTAGACTGGGAACCCCAGAACCGAGAACCCCAAGAATGTAGCAGGAATATACCTACCAGGGTCCTTACATTCTGGTCATACTCCTACTATATTCTTGGGGTTCCCTGTTTGGGGTTCCCTGTTTGGGGTTCCCATTCTACTCCCTTTATAGTAGTCCTGGCCAATTCCATGATGGATGCCTGCCTGTACAGGTGGAGCTGCCTGAACCTTGGCAAGCGCGACCTTGCACATCTTACGGGGGGGTTGTAGGGAATAAAGGAATATATTCTATAGGGATTACTGGGAATGTAGGCGTATAACATGGGGTTATACAAGTTATATAGGTATAATGGAAAGGAACATGGATGCAATTGGGCTACCTGCTACAGTTGGGCATGAATTGCGCTGTTCAGCCGGAGGCCTTGGAAGTATGGACGAATGATTGGATTTCCAGCGAGCGGCCCCTCCAAAAGGATTCATGTTTCCGAAGCCCTCATGTGTGATGGTATGAACTTTAACATGCAGACCGATTAGGAGTACTGCAGGCATGGATGGAATGGCCCAAATATAGCCAGGCAGAGCGAGACATTACAGGCCAATTGGCGATTATAGTAATACACGATCTAGACGACCACCGGCTCTTGCTCTTAGATACTCGCAGAGAAGTAGGCTCCTGATTGGTCGGAGTTCCCGATGACATGCAGCTGTTGTTCCATTTTCCCTGGCTGAGGTGGGAAGTTGGTGGCACCAAGACCTACTCATGCTCGAGTCTAAGTTTGTTTTGTGATTGAGGGCCTGCTGGATTATGAATAACGTGCACAGAGCATCTCAAGGAAACAAGTCGGTCTTTCATAAATATAATTGATTCGAGTCACCATGTGTCAAGGGGCTTGTCGAAGTACACGTTCTGGGGCTTTGTTCTTGTTGCTACACTGCAAGTCAACTCACCTCTGGTGGAACTGATCTGCAATTCTCTGGTAGAGTAAAACGAGCCAGAACATTGCTCAGATCTGCTCTGAAGTTTCCACCATTACGTTCTGAAGACCAGGAGCGGCATCTAAACCTAACCAGAAACTGTCAACCATAATCCCCTGAGCCACACCAACGACCAGCAACGTTTCAGCTCTTGGCCTATATGCCTTATACTACAACTGTTTTAGCCACCAGATGAGGCGCACGCCCCGTCTTTTACGACTCCTTTGATGCAGCGCGGTCCCTACACAGGTGCATGTTCTAGAGCCTGCGCTCGAGAAGTTTTTTCAGGTGGCCCTTCGTCGGGTTGTGCAGTTCTGGGTTGCAAGCCAGTTGAGGCTGAGCCCAGCGGGCCGGTGCAAAGTCAGCAGGATTGTTGCCGATAATGTTTGGTGGAGCATTCATTTTGGCGACAGACGCGTCGCTCTGGACTCTGGACCTATGGAAGTTCGGAATATCCGTGCCGTGGCGCGGTATTTATGAGGGCCATGTGCCAAGAAGCGCATGCTGGGGTACCGCTATCTATTCTCTGCAATTTCCTTCCAGAACTTGGCAAGTGTTAGTAAATGAAGGGATGGCTCACTTTGAGGTCATCCTGGTCTATGACGTTTCCAACATGAAGTGCGGGACCCATGACGTGCTGAGGTTGTAACGTTCCAGGGCCTCAGGGTTGATTAGGGTTTGTTTTTGAATGTTTTTTTCGCCGGCAGGAATTTGAAAATTGGGCAAGCACCTGTATAACATTAGCTTTGAGATCTCTGGTGAAGCGATGTCCGCACTTGATTTAGCATGAGGAACAATAGGAGGGAGCAAGGGTTGAGGGTCCAGACTGGGTTCTGCAGCAAAAGGCAGAGGGTGCGAGTGCAGCTAGCCACCCTGCTGCGATCAGCAGGCTGATGGTTGAAAGGACCCAGCAGGTCGCTCGGAGGAAAGTTTCATTCACGACCTTTTCCCACAGAAATCGCTTCGTCGATTTGGAATTTTGAGAAGCTCCAAATGCCATGGAGTCTGTCTGAAAGTCGGAAAATTGTACACATTCTGAGCTCACATTGACCCACCCAGCAAGCAACTCTGGTGTAACCAGGTCCTACCACGGACTGGTTGCGTGGCTTTTCGAGCTCTGCTCCTCCGTGCGAGTCTCAGGTTTTGGGTGTTCATTGTGCATTTGGATTAGCACGCGGGTGGGTGGAGGATGCAGGCATCTTGCAAAGCTGCAGTCCCGTTGGTAACCTACAACTTGACTCTGACTTTTTCGTGCCGAGTGTGATGCAGGATTGTTGTTCTGCCCCGCCTGCCGAAGCGATTAAAGCGCCCAACCGGCTGACCGAACCTCTTTTCTGACATCCCAGCTTTCTGAGCAATGCGCTGCGGCATGAAAATTCTCGGCGCGTGCCTTGCTCTTGGCGGAGCACTCGCATCGGAGATCGAGTGCTCACAGCCTGGCGCTGTCGCCTGGACCGCAGTGAAACAGAACTCTGTCGTTGTGGCATGTTGGTCTGCTGTGACTGTTTCCTCCTTGGTGACATCCCAGGTGGATGATGAAGTGCAGCTCATACAGAAGAAGAAGCAGCACAAGAAGATCAAGCCTGGCCGGCATGAAACCTGGCCCAAGCACATCCAGGCCCAAATTGTGTCACCTCTCTGTGAGGTATACGAGTTGTGTTTGAATGCTGGGGTCAGGCAGGACATCTTCTGAAGCGTGCTTCTTCTCCTTGAAAGCAGGCCGACCCAGAGCCTCGTCATCGTACTATGGCCATGGTGGAGGAGATGGCAGGGCAATCGCCGCTGCTCTGCGAGGAGCGTTTCATAAAGACCTCGCAAGGTCCCCCGGCTGCCCCAGCCAGCAGCTTGCAGTCTGCAGGATGCCGAGCCTCAGGCTCCCAAGAACGTGACTGCTGGCTTCGTGGGCGAACCTTTGCAGCAGCCGCAGGGATAGAGTCTTGAAGTCTTGAGGTTGGGGCTTTGGCAGACACACTAGATGTTTTACGTGTGGCGTGTGCGAATGTATGTATAATATGCCTGCAAGCATGCATGCGTGCATACGTATGCATGTCTGTAGGTGTGCATGTCTGTCTGTATGTCTTCATGTCTGTATGTGTGTACGTACGTACATACATACGTACGTACGTACGTAGGTAGGTATGTATGTGTGTACGTACGTACATACATACGTACGTACGTACGTAGGTAGGTATGTATGTACGTACGTACGTACGTATCTACGTATCTACGTATCTACGCATGTACCCATGTACAGTACGTATGTACCTATGTACGTATGTACGT